ACCTTCAACATCATCCTTATCATCATCATGCTCTGCATCATCATCATCATCATCATCATCATCATCAACATCATCAGCAGCAGCAGCATCAGCATCATCATCAGCAGCATCATCAACATCATCAGCATCCTACACATCTCGGCTTCCTCATCATATTCCGCACATTCATCAAAATATCTGTAAATACATAAAAGAGAGAGAGAGAGAGAGAGAGAGAGAGAGAGAGAGAGAGAGAGCGCACCAGCAGGGCCCAAGCAAAGGGGTGCGGACCCCCCCTTAGCTGCCCCCTTTCCCCTTGACCTCCCCAGCAGCCGGAAGCCCTCCTCCCAATTCCCTTGTTTTTTCTTCGTCCTCCGAGCACTACCCCATCTGGCTTCCGAAGCACCCCCCCTGTACAGCAGGGAAGGGGGGTGCACCTTCCAAAGCGTGCCTCCCCCTCTGCAAAGGGATGCCCTTGGCTTACCCAGGCTCCCAAAAAGGGGGAGGGGGCTTGAAGCTGGGCCCCCCTGTCGGTTGTCCGGGCCTCCGTAGCGCGCTCTTCTACATGTACTCATATAAAGATAGATATGTATGTATAAATGTGTAAATATATGTGCCAATAACACGCATGTCTAAGTGTATACATTGTATACATATATATATATACCCTCATATGTATACATACATATACGCGTGCGAATATATACGTGTGTGTAAATGTATAGCGCACCCCCCTCCCCAGCAACCACTGATCGTATCAGTTTCTGTTGACGCTGTTCTTCTCTCCTCTTCATCTCCGTTCGTTCCCTGCTCCTCCTCCTCCGATTCCTCTTGTTACTGATCCTGATATGCCTGTAACTTCCGTTCCTCCTCTTCATGTTACTGCGGACCTTGCTGCTGATGCTGCTCCTCACCCTCCTCCATTACTTGTGCTCGTCTCCTACTCCTCCTCCTATTCCTTCTCATCCTCCTCCTCCTCCTCCTTCTCCTCCTCCTCTTCCGATGAGACAGAGAGGCAGAGAAAGAGAGAGAGAGAGAGAGACTTGAGGGAGCAGGGATCCCTGTGAGATTGCCAGGTCTGCGGAGTCAGGTGGCGCCAAACCCTGTGATGTCACTGGGATGTTTGGCATCTCTGGTATAAGAATCCCAGAAAGCATATGATGCCATTTGGACTTTTGAAAAATGGGGGATTCTACATCTTCCGACGAATATCCACGCTGCAGCACTCCAGAGCTCTGAATTCCAGAAACCCCAAAAGTCCCCCCCCAAAAAAAAACTGAAATCATAGGTCCCTGGGATTCTCACACCGGGATCCAAAAACAAAACAAGTGACATTTGAGGATTTGGACCCCTCTTAATTCGCAAGCCATGATTTCAAAAGAAACGCTGCTCCCTCGAGTCTCGTTCTCTGCCTCTCTGCCTCTGCTTCATCGGTACAGGAAGGACAAGGTGTTCCTCCACCTCCTCCTCCTCCTCCTCCTCCTCCTCCTCCTCGGCCTCCTGCTCCTCCTCCTCGGCCTCCTCCTCCTCCTCCTCCTCCTCCTCCTCCTCCTCCTCCTCCTCCTCCTCCTCCTCCTCCTCCTCCTCCTCGGCCTCCTGCTCCTGCTCCTCCTCCTCCTCCTCCTCCTCCTCCTCCTCCTCCTCCTCCACCGCCTCCTCGGCCTCCTGCTCCGCCTCCTCCTCGGCCTCCTCCTCCCCCCCACCTCCTCCTCCGCCTCCTCCTCCTCTCCCGATGATGCAGAGGGGCAAAGGGAAAGAGAGAGAGAGAGGGAGAGAGAGAGAGACTAGACGGAGCAGGGACCCATGTGAAATGAAAGGCTTGCGAGGTAAGTGGGCGCCTGCTGTCATTGGGATGTGTATAGCCTCTGGCATGAGAATGCAAGAAATCATGTGATGTCACTGGGATGGTTGGGAAGGTGTGGAACTCTATATCCTCCGGCGAAAACCAGCCTGCAGCCCTCCAGGGCTCTGAGACCCAGGAATCCCCCCAAACAAAAAACAACTACAAGCATGGCAGCAGCACATTGCTTCTGGGGTTCTCAAACCAGGAATCCCACTGTCATCTCAGGGTCTGGCGCCCCCTTCCTTCACAACCCAAGTGATGTCATAGGGATCATTGCTCCCTCGCGTCTCTTTCGTTGTTTTCTCTCTCTCTCTCTTTCTCTCTCTCTCTCTCTCTCTCTCTCTCTCTCTCTCTATATATACTTATATATATATATATATATATATATCCCGCTCTCGTTCTGTCTCTGCCTCGCTGCCTCATCGGCCGAGGGGCCGAGAGAGAAAGAGAGGGAGAGAGAGGCAGAGAGAGAGAGAGAGATCTATAGAGAGAGGGAGCGAGAAAGCGAGAGAGAGAGAGAGAAAGATGGAGACTAGAGGTAGCAGCGATCCCTGTAAGATTAGCAAATGTGCGGAGTAAGGGGACGTCAAACCCTGTGAGCTCACTTGGATGTTTGGCGTTTCTGGTATGAGACTCCCAGAAGTCTTGCGATGTCATTTGGATGTATGGGATGTCTGGGATTCCATATTCTCTGGCAAAAATCCCGCCTGCAGCCCTCCAGAGCTCTGAGACACCAGAAATCCCCAAAAACAAAATCCACACACGAAAAAAATGTATCACCTGGATTCTGGGGCTTTCGTACGAGATATCCAAAACATCCCACTGAAATCTCAGGTTTGGGCGGCCCCTTACTTCGCAGACACAGGGATCGCTGCTCCCTCGAGTCTGTGTCTCTCTCCCTCCCTCTCTCTCTCTCTCTTTCTCTTTCTGTCTCCCTGCCTCTCTGCCGCATCGGCAGAGTGGCAGAGAGAGAAAAAGAAAGAGATGGAGAGAAACGGAGAGAGGGAGAATGAGAGAGAGAGCGTGATAGAGAGAGAGAGGGACAGCAAGGATCCCTGTGATATTGCCGGGCTTGCGAAGAGAGGGGACGCCAGAACCTGTAACGTCACCGAGCTGTTTGGGATTCCTGGTATGCAGATCCCAGTGGAGTTGTGTTCAACAACAACAGCAGCCACAAAAACTGAAAAGAAAAGATAATAAATCACCAGGTGCTCTGGGATTCCCGTGCCCGAAAGTCCAAACATCCCACTGAAGTCACAGGGTGTTGGCACCCCTGGTTTCGCAAACCGTCTGACCTCACAGGAATGGCTACTCCCTCGAGTCTCTCTCTCTCTCTCTTTCCCGCTCTCGTTCTGTCTCTCTGCCTCGCTGCCTCATCGGCCGAGGGGCAGAGAAAGAAAGAGAGAGAGAGAGAGGCAGAGAGAGAGAGATACATAGAGAGAGAGAGAGGGAGCGAGAGAGAGAGAGAGATGGAGACTAGAGGTAGCAGCGATCCCTGTGATATTAGCAATTGTGCGAAGTAAGGGGACGTCAAACCCTGTGAGCTCACTTGGATGTTTGGCGTTTCTGGTATGAGACTCCCAGAAGCCTTGCGATTTCATTTGGATGTATGGGATGTCTGGGATTCCATATTCTCTGGCAAAAATCCCGCCTGCAGCCCTCCAGAGCTCTGAGACCCCAGAAATCTAAACACCAAATCCACACACGAAAAAATGTATCACCTGGATTATGGGGCTTTCGGACCAGATATCCAAAACATCCCACTGAAATCACAGGCTTGAGCGGCCTCTTCCTTCACAGACCATGTGATTTCATAGGGATCGCTGCTCCCTCGAGTCTGTGTCTCTCTCCATCTCTCTCTCTCTCTCTCTTTCTCTCTCTGTCTCCCTGCCTCTCTGCCGCATCGGCAGAGTGGCAGAGAGAGAAAAAGAAAGAGATGGAGAGAAACGGTGAGAGGGAGAATGAGAGAGAGAGCGTGATAGAGAGAGAGAGGGACAGCAAGGATCCCTGTGATATTGCCGGGCTTGCGAAGAGAGGGGACGCCAGAACCTGTAACGTCACCGAGCTGTTTGGGATTCCTGGTATGCAGATCCCAGTGGAGGTGTGTTCAACAACAACAGCAGCCACAAAAACTGAAAAGAAAAGATAATAAATCACCAGGTGCTCTGGGATTCCCGTGCCCGAAAGTCTAAACATCCCACTGAAATCACAGGGTGTTGGCACCCCTGGTTTCGCAAACCATGTGACCTCACAGGAATGGCTACTCCCTCGAGTCTCTCTCCCTCTCTCTCTATATATATATATATCTCTCTCTTTGCAGGCACTTCATTCCTCTGCCTTATCGGTGGAAGAAGAGGAGGGGGAAATGAGTAGGAAGTGGGGGAACGTATAGAGAAGAAGAGGAGAGGAACACCGTGAAAAGAGAAGACCATCAGTGGGCGCTGGGAGGGGCTGTCCACGTTTATAAATACATAACAAATACCTACCTACCAACCTACCTACCTACCTACCGACTTACCTACCTACCTACCGACCTACCTATCTACCTACCTACCTACAACGATACAGAAATAAATACAGACATACATACATATATACATACATACATACATGCATACATACATACACATACATACATACATACATACATGCATGCATGCATGCATGCATGCATGTACATACATACATGCATACATACATACATACAGCATGCATGCACGCATGCATACATACACATGTACATGCATAACTACACACATGCATAAGTACGTACGTATATACCTTCATACATACATGCATGCATGCATACGTATACGTACATAAGTACATGCGTACGTACGTGCGTACGCACGTACATACCTGCCCACCTACAGACATACATACAGGCATGCATGCAGGCAGACATGCATTCATTATGTTGCATTGTATTACATTACAGTACATTACAATCCAACACATTGCATGATATTGCATTACTCTACACTACATCACATCAAATTACATAATAATGCAATGCATTGCATTACCACGCAACACATCACATCACATCACACCACAACACATCATACCATCATACATACATGCATGCATGCATACATATGTATATATAGTCATGCATACACACATACATACATTAATCAACAAAGTTCCTACTCGAGCTTCTCTTCCATATCCCCTCCTCGATCTCTGGCACGCCGAGCATCTCGTAGAAGCACTGGTGCATCTCCGGATGAGGGATGGTAGGAAGGAGGGACGCACGCACGACGAAGGCGAGAAAGAAGGTGCGAGGCAGGGAACGCGAGAGGGGGAGGTGAGAGGCCGGACTCTTGGTCGGCGTCGCCAAAGGGTTGCAGGGCGTCCTGGGGAAATCAAGGGCGGCTCCTCCGCATCTTCCTCGTCCTCTGGCCTTTTCGTCCTCCATCTCCCCAGAAATATAAGGGAGCACACCCCAGCCACTCCAGGAATGAGAACCGAACGGGAAAGCAAAAAATGAGCCCAGACTCCTCATCTTCCTCGTCCTCTGGCCTTTTCCGCCCTCCCCCCGGAAACAACTAGGGGAGCACACCCCAGCCACCCCAAGAATGAATAACCTGCTGACTGGAGAGCAGAAGAATGAGCCGACCGGCCAGCAGCTGCAGCAGCCACGGCACGCTCGTGCCGTCGCGACCAGGACGCTGGTTTCTGATACCGAGCGAACCGCCGTTCTCAAAACTGCTGGGTCGCTGCCTTCTCGACAACGCACCCTGGTCCATTGTCGGCCGGGTCCCAGCCACCAGCGGCGTTCAGCCTTGAACGCGCCTGGTGGCTGGGATGTTTGAAGGGGCCCAAGGACACACACAAATAAATACGCGCAAATAAAAAGATGCCCCCTCTTTCCCCATATCTTCTGGGCTTCTGTCTTCCCCCCCACCTCCCATATTTTCCTGGGGATCGACGATTCATTGAGTCTGTTTTTTCCCCTCCTGAATGTCATGCGATGAAGGAAAGGGAAAACAAAAACAAACAAAAAAAAATGGAAGGCGCCCGCGCTGGGGTCGCCGACGCGTCGCCGCGGCACGACGCCCAGCGTCGCCAGCCAGCTGGCCCAGGAGAGAGACGGGCCACTCTTCCACGACCCCTACCGCAGAAGTAGGACGGGGCAGAGGAGGAGAAGGAGGTGGTGGTCCCCCTCCCCCTCCTCCTCCTCCTCCTGTCTCTCTCCAGCTCCTCCTCCTCCTCCTCCTCCTCCTCCTCCTCCTCCTCCTCCTCCTCCTCCTCCTCCTCCTCCCTATCCTCCTCCTCCTCCTCCTCCTCCTCCTCCTCCTCCTCCTCCATCCTCCTCCTCCCCCTATCCTCCTCCTCCTCCTCCTCCTCCTCCTCCTCCTCCTCCTCCTCCTCCTCCTCCTCCTCCTCCTCCTCCTGCCTCTCTCCTGCCTGTGGCGGTGGCGGTGGGAGACCCGCCCACCAAGAGGCAAGCCCAGCGCGCAGACCGGCCGAGCGGGGAAGCCTCCGGGCAGAAGAGAGCGCGGGCGGGCGGGCGGGCGGGCGGCGCGTCGGCAGGCAGCCTCGCGCAGCAAGGCAGGCCGGCCGGCGCGCCAAGCGGGCGGGCAGGCAAGCAAAGCACACGGCCGTTCACACAGGCAGGCGGCACACGGGCGGGCGGGCAGGCACACGGGTAGCACACGGGCAGGCGGGCAGGCAGGCAGCACACGGGCAGGCAGGCGAGCACACGGGGGTCCCAGAACCGTGCGGTGGCAGACTGCGCGGTGGCCTCGGAGCCCCAGGAGACCTCGCCGCGCGGTCCGTCACCGCAGGGTCCTGGGGCCCTGGAAGCCCCAGTCGCCCAAGACTGCCCCGGAGGAGGACCCGAGTCCTAAAAACCGTGCGGTGACCCCGAATTCCCACCGACTCACCACACGGTGCGGTCGCCACCCCGTGTGCGGGCCCCCGAAACAAGCAGTGAATGAGCAGGGTCATGCCAAGGCAGGACCGGGCACGCAGGCCAAATAGCATACCCGACCCGTGCTTCTTCCGCCTCTGCCTCCAACAAAAAACTGGAGGCCTCGCGTATCCCCACCACTCTCCCCTCCCAGGCTCGGTGGGTGTCCCCCACCCGTGGCTTCGGGGCTCGCCCGTCGCGGCCTTTGCGTTTGGGCTGTGGCCCCCCCCTCCCTGCTCGCACCGTGGTACGCGCTGCTCATGGTCTTTCTTGGCCCCCCCAGCGGCAGTTTCCACGGCTGTGGGGAGACACCTGGTGCGTGTCGGCGCTAGGGCCCAGGGGCAGCGCCATGCGACAGACTGGGCTGGCTGGCCACCTCAGCTTCACTGCAGCAGGACCCCCCTGGCAGGCAGCGCAGACGTCACCACCACCAGTGTGTCGACCATCACCACCCGACGGCGGTGCTGCCCACGCCAGCGGATCTCTTCGCTTCAGGGTACGGCACCGCAGTTGCGCCTTGGGCACAGCCGCATGGCTCCCCTCGGCACTGGGAGGCGGATTTCTGAGGACTGGGCGCTGAGTGGTTCAGCCTACAACGCCTGTACAGCCTTTGGTTCTTCCTCTGTCGCGCACTGTTTTTGGTTACGGCCGCACAGCCGTTCGGCGTGTGCAGGTCGGCAAGGAGTCTGGCGCCGCCCTGGCGACTCACTTCGATGCATCCGCACATTCATCACGGCGGCCTGCCCACTTCGGTTCGGGCTGCGGCGCCTAAGTGCGTTTGCCCTGAGAATTTAGTTCATTTTGTTCTGTGCACGTGCAACTGCGAGTTTGTCTTGCAGGTGCGAGCTTTGTCCGCCGACTCTGGCAGCAAATTGTCTTGCAAATTAGCCCCGTACCGTGTCCCGGACGCCGCTTCCGCTCCCTGTCCGTTGCCTCTGAGCCGCTGACCAAAAAAGTATCCCCACCACCCTTGCAGCTGTCTGAGTGGGCCGGCTGGCCGCGCCTGTCTTATCTAATTCGCCTAGTTCGCGTCCCGGACTTTGCTTTCGCCGCCTGACCCTCGTCTCGTGGCCGCGACCAAAAAAAAGTATCCCCACCACCGATGGGACGGCCATCAGCCGTGTTCCTGCAGCCTGATTTGCAGTGCTCGTGCGGCCATCAGCCACCCCCTGGCGTTGGTCACCCTGGACGCCTCTTCCCCCGTGCCGGATAGGTGATGTCAGTTCACCTGGCCCGGTCTCTCCTTCCCGCGTAATTTGCGGTTCCCTCTATGCGGCGTCCTCGACACGCGCCCCCTGACCAGCCCCCACGGTTGCGTCTGCAATTCCTGGTCGTCTGGTCACAATAGTTGCTCAGCAGGCCGTGCCCGGTGCTGGCCCCTTGGAGGCTCTCCTGCCGTCCCACGCAGGAGTGGTTCAGCCTTCTTGAAGTGGTCGGCACCTCCCCCGCTGTCGCATCGCTGCCGCCTCTTGGCACTTACCTCGCCACAGCTGTGGGCCTGCCCCCTGGCGCCCTGTGGCGACAAGGTCCATCTGGTATCGGGTGACCTCCTCCCGCGGTACCCACTTGAGCTCGTGTGCTCTAGCACCCCTCGGGCTCCGCTCTCCTGGCTGCGCGCCGCCTCACAGGATTCGCCCGTCTGGTGGCACCGCCCCGCTCGGCAGACGTGTGGTCTGTTGCTACAGAACAGGTCACGACCTCTCCTGGCGTACTGGAGCCAATTCACTCGCATGGTGCATCAGCTACCCTGGCCGTTTGCAGTCAGCTCAGCCAGATCCCCATCAGCCCGCGGCCCCTCCGGCGGTAGGTTCTGAGTGCGGGCTCGGCCGCTGTGCTTTTAGGCCTGCGCGTTGCTAATTGACAGGCCCGTGGCCCGGACCTCTCAGCTCGGCGACTGCGAATCCGCGTCCGCCCGCGCCAAAAAAAGTATCCCCACCACCCCACGTGCGAGAAGGGCGGGCAGTGGGAGTCGCCCGAGGCACTGCTCGGCGAGATGGCGGTGGTGCTGGAGCCCGACCTCACGTGCGAGGAGGGCGGGCAGTGGCTGCCGGCCTGACCGCTGCTCAGCGAGATGATGGTGGCGACGCTGGAGGCCAGCCTCATGTGCGAGAAGGGCGGCCAGTAGCAGCTGACCCAAGCACTGCTCAGGGAGAGCGCGCGCGAGGAGGGCGAGCAGAGGAAGCCAGCTCAATCGCTGTCCCTTCCGACGACGATTTGTGAGGGCGGCTGCCACTGGCACTGGCGCTGCTCATGCCAGGCGGATGCAGCCACTGCGCGGGGACAGCGGCGCCGAGGGCTCGTGCTCGGTTTTCTAATCACACACAAAAAAACTTAGCATCGCACCGCTGCCCTCCTCCCCCCTGCTCCCCGGGCGGGATCCGACACCTCAGTCGTCCTGCCGGGTTTGGCGTTCTGGACTCCCGTCCGTCGAGCGCCTGCATGCAAGCTGGATATTTCACTGGTGTCGACGCGCGGCTGACTGCCTTCAGTCTGCTTACGACGTGCCTGTCCCACGGCGCGAACTGCTGTTCGGTCGTCGCCAGTCGCTCGTTCCGCCGCCACCCACAGTGGATGCTTCCGACGCGCAGAAGGCTTGATCACCTTGCAGGGATGCGTAGCCCTTGCAGCGCTCTGCCCCCCGCGTGCTGCCCCTCGGACAGGCGCAGGCGCTTGCGGCTTCCGCTATCTCCCGCGGCTGCCCCACGCCGCAGTCACCACGGGGCACCACACTGCCAGCTAATTACCCGCCACTTTGGCGTGCACCCCCCAGCGGTTGCTAGCTGCCGATGGCACCCCCTCCGTGAGCGCCGCGCGGCCCGCCCCGGCTAGTCTCACCTCCCGCTGTTCTCTTGTTGTCTGCTTTTCTCATGTCGTCTCTCTTCTCCTCTCTCTCGTGTGTTATTTAGGCTCCTGCTGGGTAGCTGTAGCTTTGGACGGCGCGCGGCCCTTCCGTTTGCGCTCGCGATCGAAGAATCCCCACCACCCCCTCCAAAAGCAATCCCACAGGCGGGTTGCCCTGATCAGGGAAGTGTGGGAGCATGCAATAGTACAAAGAGAGGGTGCAGCCGTGAAACCGAAGATCGGGATCAGCCTGAGCAGATCCAGGAGTCCACCATGAATGCCTTCGCGGATCATTCGATTGGAGAGCCTCCTGGCAGCTTACGCTGGTCGTCTTGGGGCCCTCTGGCTATGCTGGAGGCCTTCGGGGCTTTCCTGGGGCCCTCCTGGGGGCCTGGAGGACCCTACTGGGGACACACTGGAGAGGCCATCGATCAAAGAAGGGAGGGGGTCGTAACGACTCTCCC